GGAAGTAGTTGGTCGTGGCCATTTGGAATATAGCGGGTGGATATTGTTTTTGTTACATAGATTGGGTGTACTCGGGGTGCAGATCCCAAGGAAATTCTTTGAAGGGACAGAGTTAGTTGAAGGAGTGAGGAAAAGTGCAACGAGGTAGGTGTTTGGTAGTTTTGGTTTTGATAAAATGCCAATTTTTTGATGGTTGCAGAATGTCTCAATGCTGAACTGTCCACCCTTTTGGGGTGTATGTATACGTTAACAACTCATCAGCAAGTGATCCATGTGTGAAATGTCAGCAAATTAATTTGACACGTAATTAAGTTCAATCTATTCATCAAACCAGCCATCTCTGATTTATTCACGAATTCGTCAGTTTAACAATGCATGTGCGTCCATCCAATAGCCATCTTGTACCATTCATCCATCCACCCATTTAAAAACCTTTTACCAACCCAGGTAGCATTTATTCTTTTATTTGGTATCTATTCATCCCACATTCATTCGTTCATTCAGTGATGCATCCCCCTTGCGTACTTTCATTAAGCTATCTGGGCTTCATTCCCTCCATCTATTCATCCTGGCACCACTCATCCATGCGTTTCGCCCTGAATGCATCGCTCTATTCACATAAACTCCATCCATGTGTGCCCCTTACGTTCTGATTCCATTTACATATCGTGTATCCATGGCTTTTGGGTCCATCTTCAGTGACAGGCGGAATCAAGGATTCAATCCATCAAGCGCGGCAAATTGCGACTCATTTCATTGTCCCATCTTTTGCTACTTTGCTACAACCAACCCTATGTCGATCGGTCTGGGATGGTAGTGAAGTCGTAGGCAGCACCGAGTGGGTTAGACCACCGTCGGTTTCATTTAATGATCTGAAGAGTCCGGTGATCGCATTCATATCATGCCAATCTCATTCATGTTGCAATTACACTCCGAGAGGCGGAAGAAAGTCCACTTACGGTAAAATCCCTCTCAGGTTGTGTAGATATGTGAGAGGACAGTCATTGAATGAAGAACAACTTTGGAACCTCGAAACGCTGTGAACTCACGTGGCTATTAAGAGTGGAGACCTGACCTTTCCAGTGGCACTTCGATAAACTGTTGTACATGTCCCTAGCTAGAA